GTACAGGCCAAATATAAACAGTCCCTCCCTCATCGATAAAAACAAAAGCGAAATAATTTATTGTACCGATTAAAAAAAAAAACAAAAAAAAAACCGCCTTCCCTCATCAATTTAAAAAAAAGAGTGATAATCTAATAATTTTTTCTATGTGCCCGAATACACGCCCGGCTTTTAGTATGTCAACAATTTTGCGGTATTACCAGAATCAGTGTTCGTACATAATTATAAAGGATAGCATGGTAGCCATAGATGTGCACTGAATTTAAGCGCGCCTAAGTGGAAATAGTATGAATGTCTCTCAAAATATTATCCTCAATTTTGCTTTTAATTTATCATCATCAAGCAAAATACATTTAAAAAAAATTGACAAACTACAAAACAAAATTATCGAAGGTCACAAAAATATCAATGGGGCAGAAATTACGACAGAATCTGGAAACCTCCAGTCGTTTGACCGCGCAGTGCGGAGTTGATTGTGTTGCACGATCAGGTGATAGTAACGATCCGTCCTAATTATCTGTTAATTTATATAGAAACCATAATTATTGGACATTAAGTGGATTATATAAAGTCAAATCATCAAGGAACATGTCAGTTTGAACAATTGTAGTTTCAATTTAACAGTTTTCAGGGCCGGGCTTTGGCCTAGTATTAGTACGTACTTGATGATGATAAATTAAAAGCAAAATTGAGGATAATATTTTGAGAGACATTCACACTATTTCCACTTAGGCGCGCTTAAATTCAGTGCACATCTATGGCTACCATGCTATCCTTTATAATTATGTACGAACACTGATTCTGGTAATACCGCAAAATTGTTGACATACTAAAAGCTGGGCGTGTATTAAGGCACATAGAAAAAATTATTAGATTATCACTCTTTTTTTTAAATTGATGAGGGAAGGTACTGGTAACCAGTACTACCAGTAGTCTAATAAGCCTGGCCCGTGCCCTGCTGGATCGACCTGACTGGTGGTAGGCCTAGAGTAGTACCTAGACCTAGCCTAAACTCTAGTAGTAGTATTAGGCCTAGTATAGGCTAGGCCTTCTTATATAGTAGGAGGCTGCTTTGTAAGCCCTCGGCCTACTACTACTAGGCCTACTTACTAGGCCTAGCCTAGGGCCATTAGGGATGAGGCTAAACAAAAGCTTGGCTTAGGCCAGATCTCTTCGGTATGTGAAATACTTTAAAAAAAAGCTTTGTGCAATCTTACCATTATGTGTACTATTGTACCGTGCCGTACGTATTCTGTATTTTCATAAGCCTCTCCCTTACCCAGGCTCTAACTTTATTTTTATTTTGGAAGTTCGCGCTGTTAGAATTACGCCCCCTTACGGTGTGATATGCTCACCTCTTGGGGGCGCTGATCTTCAAGCCTTCTCCGACGTCAGAGAGAGCTGAAAATAAATTAGTTTTACAAGAAAACTCACCAAAAAATAAATAAATAAATACTAATGGAATAATAGAAAGTTGATTTAAATACACTATAAAATCAAATTAAAACTTACAATAAACTACATACTAAAAAAACTAAGAACTAAATTAAATAGCATTTACACAGTATACTATGCATAATATACATTGCATGCGCAAGAACGTGTTTACCCGGTACAGTCATATAAAAAACATATGGACATGTATGGACCTATGATGTACTTTTATTTATTTATTTATTGCACATCCAACAGTGTAAACGCCAATTACAGGATGGAAATATAAAATATACACTATAAAACTTACACAATATTAGTAAAAAAAGATTCATTTCACATGATCTACCGTGTAAGAAGTCATGCTGTTGTTCAGATATTGAGGGGAAAATATGGTTTATCAGTTGTCTATTTATAATTTTTTCAAATATTTTAGATATTGTTGGGAGTAACGATATACGTCTAAAGTCTTGAACTTCAGATTTAGAATTACTCTTATGTATGGGAACAATGTTTGCAGTTTTCCATTGATCAGGAAATTTACCAGACATTAAAGAATGACTAAATATTTTTGAAATAGGAAGGGCTCAAGAAGATGAACAAAATTTAAGGACTTGATTGCTTATTGGTTCATTTCCAGCTGCCTTATGTGTGTCGATACATTCCAAGAGTTTAGCGACCTCATCTTGGTGTATACTTATGTTGTTGAGGACATCACCATACACCTGAGGCAGAGCCGGACATTCGGAAATGTCGCCAATGTCTGAGAAAGCAGAAGCAAAAAAATCATTAAATAAGATTGCCTTCGTATGCCGACTGTCAGCGACCCTGCTTCCATTAGAAATGTGGGTTGTAGTACTAACAGATTTTCGTTTAGATTTATTTACTATAGTTTTAATCAGCATTTTACATTCTTAATAACTCCAAGATACATAAATTTAACTCCAAGATACATGATATGTACAGTAGTTTTTATCGGCATGGCATCATATTATTACTTTTAATTATAAAATTTAAAAAAAAAGAATATCAAGTACGCAATAACAGACAGAATTAATTTTTAACTACAAAATTTGAAATAAGCCACATCTCCTTCTCCATAAACTTTTGGCTAACAATTTACAGAATTAATCTTCCAAAAGTGGCCTGGGGTGGAGGGGGGGGGGGCGAAGCCCCGAAAGATTTTTGAAAATTTATGGGTTTCAAGGGCTTATTTAATCGATTTTAGAGTCTATTAATATGTACCAAATACATAAAATTTCTCCCCCAACGAATTTTGGTTTTTCTCCTCGACGAGTTTGTGTGGGGGGTGGGGGGAGGGCGCAGCTATACCCGAAGGGGGGCCTGGCGCCACCCCTGCTTCTTACTATTGACACTGCATTACGATGTATACAGCTTTACCATTATCGAAGGCTGTTGTATTTATCGCATACAGCTTTTATTCTTATTCTCTAAATACCTTATAGTAGAGTCTTGTAAGTTGCTGAATTTTTAACATTGTCTAAACTCGCAACTGAATTTTGTGTGGTTTTGCATCAGCAAATAAGTTAATAACATGATCAAAGTTACCAATGTTGTCTGCTTCATCACGCTCAATACTAAGTAGTGCCAAGCAGATAGTCTCGCTTTTCCCATCATGGCTCTGAGATATTGCAGGATGAGCTTTAGTCAGTTATTACAGAATAGGATAAAAGATACAAGAGAAAACGGTCGAAATGGACTGAAAAGAAATCACAATCTATAAATTTGCCAATTAAAACAACTAGGCCTACATTCAGATTCTTATTATTAACTGGAAAATATTCATGCATGACGACATACATAAATTTAGTCGTGTTTTTCTAAAAAGTGCCTAATTTTTGACTCCCATCCCCCATTTCAGCGCCCCCCACCCAGCAACCTGCCGCCCGGGGCACGTTCCCCCTCCTCTTGACCCCTAGCTACGACACTGTGGAATGGTACATAATAATCTAAGAAAGAGATGATTAAATTTTGGGGAAGAAAAGGTTGAAGGTCAAGGTCACAGAAATTCAATTTTGGGATTCACCCACCATACACAGCCATGCCATGGATCGAGCATATCTGTTTTGATAAGGGGGTGGGGGCAGTCGTGAGTCCACACCCACCTCAGCCCCACCATGCTGAAGGGACGAAAACTTTAGAAAATATGGCGCGTGTGAAACAAAGTAAATGATATACGTTGTATACGACACACTACCTTCAATAATTTAATGTTTTAATGATGAAATATACTATTGTTATAGGATCAAAACTGCATACCTAAAGAAGTTTTAATACTTTATTCTATCGGAACACTTAGATAGTATACAGTAGGCCTACCTTTACCAAAAAGAATGTTTTTGATTGGATTGGATTTATTCGGTGTAAACACCAAGGAGAGCCCACCAAAGTCTAGAAGAAGACTTATTTCCAGTGGGGTCCTTCTGGTGGTGATTGGGCTAAGTACACCGGGAGACAATCCCCTACTCTTTTCCGAAGAGTGTACTGCGTTCTTTAACGTGCACATGGGCCATAATGCACACAGGACCAACGGCTTAAACGTCTCATCCGAAAGACGGTGCGCTATTGTAACTTGTATTTCAGCCCTCTAGCTGAAACACGAGAGGCAACGATGGGAATTGAACCGGGAACCTAGAGATCTCCACGGTTCAGCATACACACAGCGGCTACCACCAGATTAGCCGACTGAGCTATAGTTCAATAATTTAATCAAGAGCTGTTTTTACCTTTAAAAAGTTTTATTATTATTATGTTTTTTTTAATTTTTTTTAATTTTTATTTTATATTTTAATAGTAATACACCACCTGCTCTTCATTTTCTATTTTACACGTCTTGTTCTTCATGAAAAAAAAAAAAAAAAAAAAAAAAAAAAAAAAACACCTGACCGATTTTCCTACTGTAGATAAATTAAAAAAAAAATCATGAGTGTACATACGACAGTATAACACATACTTCAAAACATAAGCAATTAAACAATTGCAGTGGCGGATCTAAATAGAGAGGCCAGTGGATTTCCACAGGTGAAGGACTACTAAGACCGCCTCAGCCCCACCATGGTTTGGGCTGAGGTAAGACAATTTATGATTATAGCACCTCTAGATGGCCGGAAATAGCACTCTCAGATTTATAATATAATGAATATAGATTCCCTTTTTCCCCATTTTTTAAATAATTTTGAAAAAAATAGGGGGTCGGGCTGGCTGGGGCCACTTGAAGACACGTCCCTTGACAAATCATCAAAACCTATAGGCCTAATCAGTAATTACTCCTCTATAAACCGAATGTTATTGAGGAGCCCGCTGGCCGTTTTTTCTTTAAAATTAAGTTGTAAATTATTTTAAATCATTATTATTTTTAGATCTACTTATGAATGGGCCCCTAATTGCCCTGGGCCCCAGTGCTTTGCACTGGTTGCACTGCCCGTAGCCACGCCACTGGTAGATAACCAACGATATAAATATCGCCCTCAATAGCTAAAGAGGTCATGAATATTCATTATGTAAAGTATTTACGTCACATTTTAGAGGCCACCACCACTCCACCGCAAGACGTAGGCGTAGTATTATTTGTTTTGAAAACATACGCCATGAGGTCGTAGTATAGTAGAAATTTTGTTTACATACGGCAAGAAATAAAACAATATTTTTACTATTGTAAATTTATGCTATTTATCGACTTATCTAGTGTGGAAAGGATACATTTAAGAGGCGTGAAATATAGCTTTATCACCACCACACCGAAAAATGACACATGAATAAGGTAGGACTTGACCGTAGTGGTACGAAACTGTTGTAGAGTAAGTGATATAGGCCTAGGCCTAGTAGTAGTAGGCTAGTACTACTAGACTGCTACTAGGGCCTAGCCTAGTAGTAGGCCTGAAGCCCGACAATAATAGGCATTGATGTCTTGTGTTCGATGTGTTGAATTTATAATGAATAAATACAATGTTTACAAATTATATGAGTTTGTGATAGGTAATACTAGGCCTACGGTCTAGCTAGGCCTAGGCCTAAGCCTAGTCTAGTAGGCCTAGGACCCTAGGTAGGCTATTCACAAAAGAGAGTACAATTTTTAGTGTCGTTGGTTTGAATTTCATTGTCATTGAATTTGTTGTTAGCCTGCCTACTATTGTAATGTATTACTAGAGACTACTTCTTTTTTATGTGCAATCCCAATGACACCATCTGCTGATTTTCGTTCGTTAAAAACGATATACTGCACATGCATCATGCCGTTGCACTCCATCAAATCGTGTCAGCCAATAATGATAGCATGTGAGTGCCCGGCTTAATGTGTTTCATCTGGCGTTTCATCCAAGGACACAAACAGGAACGGTATTGGCCAATTTCAAACTAACCATTTGATATATTTCATTATTTTATTCATGTACACTTTAGTATATGTTCCTTCTTTGCCAGACTCCGGAGGAAAACAACTGATTTTTCTAAGACAAAAAAGCATATTTGATGAGAAACTTTGAAGCAGTTAATGAGAAATAATTTTTTTAAATTAAAAAAGATCTGATATACTGTAGTACTCTTTTCTAAAACCCCAATTTGTTATCAGCAGTGTCCGTCTGTCAGTTCATTCACGGACATACTGTAGGTCTGAAAAAAAAAAAAAAAACAACCTACGCCTCCAACCCATTTCAATTTGTTTGGGCTGTTTTGACCACGTTACAAAACAATTTTAATACTGTGCGCGTGTACGAAAGGCAAAAATGAAAAGATTGAGCGCCCTGCACGGCGTAATGTTTGGACGAATTCATTATCTGAAAAAGGTATATAAAATGCACTTCATTAAACGATCAATTAATCATGAACACTATTAAAAATACATTCCCAATCTATTCATAACACAGTAAAAATAAGGTATTAAAATCAGTATCAATCATATTCATTTATTGAATTTTAACAAGTCTTTGATACAGCAGGTACCATATTTTCATCAGTTCTCAAAATGGAACGTGTCCGCATCCCTGGGCCGGCTGTGAGCTTGGTCAGTTTTTCTTCTTGAAAGCCTTTGAAAGAATGCAAAAATGACAGAAGAAACTGATCACAAGAAAATTGCCTTCTCTTGCCGCTGCAACCTGAGCAAATGGATTGGTATATATATACAAAGTTATGACTCCTCGTAAGCAGGCTCAAATCCCGCTGAAAACACACTAATATTGCTTGTATTTTCATAGTCATTTAACCTATATTTATAACCTTCTATAAACCATTTCAACCTAAATTTATCCGACCTCTAGTTATTGAGTTACTGTTTCTGTAGTAAAATCAGACAATATTTTTTAAGATACGCTACTAGTTAAGAGGAGGTTGGTTGATTTTCTCAGCGACGCGTTTGCAGTTAAGTGAACCAAACAAATTGATATGATAAAAGGTATCTTTATAATAATTTGTTTGTTTTGTATGTGTGATGTCTCCACCCACCAGTTGCATGGTTCACATTATTTTTCCAGCCATGACTGCATAGCTCCAGTCTATGCTGTCCTCATTGTGGAACAGTTCTTTTTGATGTAACCTGTGTAGTAGTCAAATTCAATAGACTCAGATGATGTTGCCTTCTCCAATAGTGTTCTTCAGCATCACCTGACTCATGAATATTCATAAAAGTCCTCAAAAAATTTTAGGGAATTTCCATACTTAGAATTTGGCTTGAAAGTGTCAATCTTTGCAGGAACAAACTCAAGTAAAGCCATGTAGGTAAGTTGTTCATTGATGCTCTTTCACTAGGTTATTTAATTTATAGGTGAACCACATAATAAATAGTTGGCTCCTTATAAATATAGTATGTGGTATTTTAGTAGTTAAATTTTGAATTGTGTGTACAGTATGATGGCTCATCAAGTAAGTCTACCCTTACGGTTGTCGCCATTGGCATTGTTCAGGAGGCTTGATTTTTGTGAATACCTTATTTTTAAAGGGCCAATGTGAATTTTTGATTTACAACAAACACTGCACCCAAATTTTGACATTTCCAAAAATACCTTCATGCACTGCTTTTATACCGCTTTTTGCTTAGTTTTAAAATTACAGATTAGGCCCTATAAAAATATGCCGTGGCAAGAGATACGGTACCGTATTTCTACTTCGTTTTGCTAAAGGTACAGTAAATGGCATTATGTCACCATCACCCAATGAAATGCCAGAATGTGTGTGACGTCATTTTTTGAAGACTGGCATTGCATATCACCCGCAATGAGTGGTGGAAGGAGAACGATCATGTACAGTACTGAAAAATTAGAACATCAACAGTACAATATTGTTTGACTTTACTGTCATCGTTAAATACAGTAGGTGTATGGTTCCACTTTATAGTAAAAGTAGGCATGTGTTGATAATTCAGTCATCTCCTATAATGTTCTCTCAACATCACCTGACTCATGAATATTCATAAAAGTCCTCCCAAGATTTTGGGGAATTTCCACTCTTAATTAGAATTTAGCTTGAATTGATTGGATGGATAGATGGATTTATTCGGTGTATAAAAACCAAGGATAACCCACAGAAGTCTGAAGAAGACTTGTATTTCTGGTGGGATCCTTCTGGTGGTGAATTGGGCAGTACACTGGGAGACAATCCTATACTCTTTACCAAATAGTATACTGCATTCTTTAACATGCACACAGGCCATAATTCACATGGGACCAGTGACTTAAAAATCTCATCCGAAAGACAGTGCGCTATCGTCACTTGCATTTCAGCCCCCCCAGCAGAAACACAAAGAAAGCAGTGATAGGAATTGAACCAGGGACCTATAAGAAATCTTGATGGTTTAGCGCACACACCGTGGCTACCACCAATTTAGCCGACTGAGCTGTAATATGCTTTCTCACTCAATGAGACTTTGTTACAATTTTATTTTTAAAAACCATTAAGAAAATCAGCTGGAGGTTGTAAACTATAAACCATGAGTAAATAGTTCATCAATATTCTTGTTCAGTACTATACTGTAATAAATAGGGAAATTATGTGGTTTTCTCAGATGTTGAAAATTAAGTCATCTCTAATAATGTTCTGAATATCACCTGACTTATGATTCATTCATAAAATTCTTCCCAAAATTTTAGGGTATTTTCATGCTTTAGATTTTAGCTTAAATTGTATGTGACAATGATTACAAATTTATTTTAAAAACCATTAAGAAAATCATTTGGAGGTTGAACTATAAATCATGGGTATAGTTCTCATATATTCTAACTTGTTCAGTAATATTAAATAGGGAAATTATGAGGTTTAATCAGATGTTGATAATTCAGTCATCTATAATAATGTTCTCTCAATATTAGCTGACTCATGGTTCATGGATATTCATAAAGTCACCCAAAATGTCCATGCTTTAGACTTCAGCTGAAATTGTAGTGACAATTAATTATTACAATTTTATTTAATAAAAAAAACATTAAGAAAATCAGTAAGAGGTTGTACTATAAACCATGGGCAAAGTTCTCATCAGTATATTCCAATTTGTTCAGTAATATTGAATAGGGAAATTATGAGGCTCAGTCAGATGTTGATAATTCAGTCATCTCTAAATAATGTGTTCTCAATATCACCTGACTCATGATTCATGAATATTCATAAAAGTCCTCCCAAGATTTTAGGGAATGTCCACGCTTAATAAGAATCTAGTTGATTACTGTATACAATGTGTGACGTAATTATTACAATTTCATTTAAAAACAATTAAGAAAATCAGCAGGCAGTTGTAATAAACCATGGGAATAGTTCATCATCAATATCCACGGCAGAATGACATGTACAGTGGCGCTATGATAATGGGATGTTGATAAAATTCAGTCATCTCCAGTAGTGTTCTCTCAACATTACCCAACTCATGAACGTCCTTCCAAGGTTTTGAGGGAATTTTCAAGTCTCTTAATTAGAAATTAGCTTGAATCGTATGTGACATTTATTACAAACAATTTTATTTTAAGAACCAATAAACCATTAGGAAAGTCAGTCAGAGGTTTTTTCTCTAAACCATTGGCCAAGTTCCTTATCAATACAGATATCAAAAACTTTGACAAAAATGTGTGACCTTAATGACATCACATCATGACCATATATAGCCACATCATGACTATATAAGAAAGTTTTTCAGTACTATAATAAATTGCCATACTTTTTTTTTAAATTGTTTTTTAAAGTACTGGTGAAATAAATGATATGATATGATATATTGGCAATTATATGGACAAAGATTTTGGATTTTAAGCTCTTGTATCAGATGAGATATTCTCCATGAACCGATAGTGCTATTATGCCTTCCACCAGGTATGTGTGCTACAGTGATAGTTGTACCTGGATTAAGTAAAGCACTTCCTGGCCTTGTGTCAGTAGTTTATTCGGCTTGCATCTCATGTTCCATTTCTCATCTGCACATGATTAATTTAATATTATGATGAGCTTTTGAAGTTTTCGGGGATTTCCTATTTCCAAATATGGGAGGTGGATCTGTTATGGGTGGTAATCTGTAAATCTTAAGGCCAGCTCCTTGAGTGTATCAAGAACGGAAATTACTGTGCTGTAGTATCATTGGCAATAATGGATATTTTTAATTGTTTAAAGATTCTTGGAAAGTTATCAGAATTTGAATTTCTTACTTTTTAAAGATATTTGCTTTCAATATAATATTTATAATAAATAACCGGTTTTTTAATTGACATTTACAGGTTTAAATACCAATAATATTCTTAATAAAATGTTATATTGGCTAGTTAAATTAGATAGTATAATACCTACTCCAAGCATCGAAATGCATGCCATCGTGCCAGTATTCAATATTTCGACATTAATTATGTCATCAGGAACAGTGGACATTTCAGTTTTTGGAAAACGCTCCGTACTAGTTAAATAATGTTTTCGAAAATGAGCAAAAAGGTAATTCGGATTTGATCGATCTCATTGTAAGAAATATTTTTAATTGAGCCTCAGAATTTTAATTGAATGTTTTATAGGCTTCTCAGAAATAGTAATTGTACCACAGAGCATTAGATCGATTGTGCAAGAATACAGTCCACGCTACCAATGCCGTAGTCAACAGTTAGGACAGTCCCACACAATTTTTTTAATGGGTCCACAAAGAATGGGTCCACATTTTGAAAAATGAGTCCAAATTATGCAGTTTTATGCATAAAATTAGTCCACTTTTGAAAAATGAGTCCAGATTTCTCATATTTAGCTTGAAATAGGTAAAAATTTTTAAATAAATGGGTCCATATTTGTCATATTTTTGAGTAAAATGAGTCAACTTTTAAGAAAATGGTCCACATTATTTGTATTTACGCGTAAACTAGCTCCACCCTGATACATTTTTCTTTACTGCCATCTGTTGCATCAGCATCATTGGAGATTATATTTTGTCTACAGTACTGCACTGTAGCTTAATGATGGGATTTCTTCAAAGGTTACAATTCAATTTTTTTTTGCTGTTGAAAGTAATTCGCTTCCAATATGATACTTGAACATTTTTTTTAACAGTTATAAACGATACTGATGCTATTCATTTTATTCTTTATTTGCATGATAAATAGTTATATTGGCTGGTATTCAATTAGGTATTTTTTATGAAAGATAGTTTAGATGAGCAAAAAGCTAATTCGACTTTGATCGATCTGATTGTAAGAAATATATTTAATTGAGCCTCAGTGTTTTGATTGAATGTTTTTCAGATTAAGAGTAATACCACAGACCATTAGATCTATTGCAGGAATACAGTCCATGGCTTTCATGTCAAGGTTGCTCGAAAGAAAAAAAAATATTGAATTGTTTATTGATTGTGTGATACAAGCAGGATTTTACATGAAGAATTTGTGTGGGAGGGAGCCAAGGACTTCCCTTCTTTAGTTCACTGTCCTTATTATCAACAAAGGGTATGGAGATGGAACATTGCCTGCTCAACTTTGTCTACCCTGTCCGGCAGGAAATTTTGCAATAGTATTTATGTTTCTGATTAAACAATTAAAAAACTTAGAATAATGTACTATAGTACTCTATGCATTTAGGAAAAAAGCCTAGACTTAATTTATCTTCATTTGTGGAATGTGTCCAAAGATAAATATGTTATTTATATATCGTCGTTTAGCAGGTATTGTGCTGTTTCCTGTCTTTTACATTAAATAATTGTTTTATTCAATTCCTGGATAGCCATAACTTCCCCTTTCTTAAGTAGTTGTCTATGATAGTATTGTTTGCATGTATGTGAAAGGTCACTTGTGGTCATGGTAAGATTCTAATTCAATCCAAGGAATTCAACTTGAGTTGGCATGCTTGAAGAAGTACTGTAACTTGCGTCATACTCAATGACCTAATGGTATTCATTAGCCAGACAGCCTATTATTTTGCTTAAATAAAAGGGAAAAAAATCTTGTTACTGGCTATGTGGTATACAGTATGTCCTTCCATTAAACAAGCTGGTAAGATGATATTAGAAAATGTAGGTGTAGGGTTGGAGACACACACCCACATACGCACGTGTCTTATGTGTACACCAACTAATGCACTTGACATTTAATTGACCTTGGCTAAGTGCATTTAAATGATTTCAATGCATGTACATTATGTATATATCATAATATGTGACAAAGACAAGCCAAGCCAGTCGCTCGTCGCAAACATCGATTTTGAGGTGGTTAGAGAGTAAAATAATAGCTATAATATGGTAAAAAAATCATTCAAATCGGACATTTCCTTATGAAGTTCCAAGCGTTTAAACATACAGCTGTTTAATGAACAATATATGAGAAATCAGCCTTCAAAGTTTATGATTTCAGGCATTTCTCATGCAGAAACTATCATCAAATCCTTAAAAAGTGTTGTTTTAACACTGAAAATGGGGAAAATAACAGCATAGAATGATGTATAGATATGTAAAGATTAGTTTAGTGCAATAAAATAGATTTTTTTGACATTTTTTTTAGAAAATTTGACATTCCAGCATGTTTTGGCCATTTTCTCTGAAACACGATTTGCGACGAGTGACTGGTTTGGCTTGTCATTGCCACATATGTAAATCAGTTAGGTATAAAATTAATATTTAATTGTGACTCCATCATTTTATCTTAACATTATTATCATATTCCTGGTCATTATAAGTCAATATGTCATCGTTTAGTCAAACTTTTTACAAAGCCAGCTGTTTGTTCATCTTTTTGTGGCTGTGTGCAAAGAGCTCAAACATATACTTTGAAACTACAAGTAGTTAATTTTTAGTCTCTACCTATCTCTGTGATGGCTGGTAATGAAGGCAGACAATGCTAAATTTAGATATCACAAAAAAGAAAAAATATATTGCCCTTACTTAATATTATTTTACTTTCTTTTTTAGAAATCTTTGATTATGGACTGGATGGATGTTACAGACCGGCAAACAAACTTTAAACGCTTACCGGAAATGAATTACACAGATGCCATTGATGTTGTTAAGAAAGGTTGCGTGTGTGACTATTTCAGTCCCTTAGCCTGTGCCAGGTAATTATTGAGTTAATCATTCAATTGTAAATATTATTTTATTGAATAAACAGTGAATACATTTTCAATAATGGTATGGCAGGTTGTTTCAGATTTTGTAATATTATTTGTGCTTGACATACACATGCATATAACATGGTTGTTTGCTTAGTTTATATGTGGTTTGATACAGCAGAGGTGTATTTAAAAAAATGTCATTAAGTAAATCCACATATAAATATACACACATACTTTTTTTACTACACATACATATATTCATGTGCATAAATACATTCAATGCTAGTAACTACAGTAGTAGTAGTTGCTTGGTCCATTTTGTGGGTATATTATAACTTATTAATGATAGTTTTAAATATATGTAATATTGAAGGTGATGATAATGATAATATTAATAATAATTAATAAATCTTTTACATTGAATTTTTACTATAATCAACAAGTTCTGTTAGGCAATGGAAATTCATAAATTATGGAAATTCGTAAATTATAGAAAAGTGGTTTAAAAAAAGACTTTAATACGAGTGAACATAATGACAAATGATAATAATCATTATTAAATTTGTTTCTTATGATTCGTTGCTTGTTTAGGAATGGAATTTTATCTTTCATATGTTCAATACTTTGTCTTCTGTGTATCGTAAAGGTAAGTCTTTAAAATCTGCAATAAACTCAGACATCTGGGATGGCCATAAATTTAACTAATAATAATATAAAAGAAACATTTTAAAATATTTTAAAACTTTTTCATTGTGCTATGATGTATTATTATAGCATGTTGGTCTCTGTTCATTTTGCTTCGAGGACAGTAAAGTATAGTTGCTTTTAATGACATTCAAAATCACCACAAACTGGCTTAGTGGTAATGATATGAAGCAGGCGATACTAGTTAGGGTGACTTTAAAAAATAATTAGTTCAATAATATCTTACCATTGAATTTCATATTTCCTTTTATCATGAATGATAAAGTTTGTAAGCTATCTGTGATTGTCCTTATCTTCTATGTTTGTTAATAGTGCACCACTGAAAATATAGTTTGTTGACCCATAATCCTTTGATGCATGATCTGAGCAGTTGTCTGAGGTATTGTTCCTTTTATGCTAAAGAGCCCGGTTCAGACCCGGCCAGCATCTGGTTTTAATTGGAGTCTAATCACTTGGCTCCTTGAATAAAAATGTATCTGTTATATGTTGGTACTGCATGGCGCTGTACTATGGCTGCCTTTGGGGCCCTAAGGGCCCAGTCAAAATTTGCACCTCGCTTTACTTCTACCAGCAGTGTTGAGAAGGGCAATTTGTAAATAAATGATAAAAAATCTGTTTGATAGTTCAGCCTGATCATTCAATCTCATTTGCCCTTATCTTTGATGATAAAGTTTTATAATCTACTGTAAAATGCTGATCATCTGTGCCTATTGTAGGCCTGTAGTACTTATCTTCAAATTTTGTTAGGGCACCGTTGAAATTTTTGTTTGTTGACCCACAATCCATTGATGTATGATATAATGTAAACACCCTTCAAAAAATTGATAACCCATGCATGCACTTACTACATGAACTCTGCATGGGAATATTATGCAAATATACAGCTAATCTTGTATCCATTTACTACCCTTTGTTAAATACTCTCATAAAATAGGCCCATGTCTAAGTAAACACATTTATTTATATTTAGGTAAACTTAGAAAACTCACTTGACTTCCTGAGTGGCATTGCCTCTGATAGATGTGGTTTATTGTGCATTTACCACCTGATATTTTTTTAGTAAAAAATAATGCCAATAGTAGTATTAAACAATAGCAGCAGCATAATACTTTTGTGACTGTGTGCTGTCACTGGCTAAAGTCGGGCCCATTAAGAGGCCCGGGATATTGATCAGCAATATTTTTCCCCTAGGACTATGTTCCATATCGCCAGCGGGGCCATTTAAGTAGCAGAACGGGTGAAAAAACTTGAAAATATGGTGCTAAAACTTTTAAAAAATGCCGGAGTGGATAGAGCCCCTTGCTCCCTATCCCGCTGGGACCCTACTGCATGTACCTCACGGTTGTAGAGCCTGAAGACACCTTCTAGGGTCCTTGGCTGTCTTTTTTATTTCTTGATAATGTACGGTAAAACTTATTTCAGGCTGAATTGTGAATAAATTGAGGGTTTTTTGTTTGCTTTTTACTATTATTTTGACTTATGGTGATTTAGTCTGTACATACTCTTTTTAATGCAATTTGTTGATAATATTTAAAAAAAATAGAATTTTGTATGGTATATATTACCATGCTAAATTGTGCATTTTGGAACCATGCAGCTGTTGTGTCTAGGATTGGTCAGGTACAGACAAACCTTTTTATATCCATTTCAGTGAGTAGTAAAGTAGGCACACATTCTGTAAAATGCATTGAAGCATTATTGCCCTCGATCTTTGAAGAGTATGTGTTACTGTGTAATAGTTCAATATTGACAATGTTTTACTTTTTGTAGGTCATTCGACTGTGTCACTCGGGAAAGGTGTTTTGCCATCAAGTATTAATATTCACCTGTGCTGCATTGGAGTGCATTATTATGTAAGTTTAAATTATTGTTGGATATTTTTTTGCAGTTAGACAGTATATAGTACAATTTCTTAATGTCAAAGAAGATATCAAATTTCATGTATCATATACTCACATAATAATATATTTTTGCCAGAACGGACTAAATATTCTTTAAGCTCGAGCCTTATTGTATATATAGCACTACTTATCAGTAATAATTATTATTTCTTTTGTAAATTTATTTTATGGGGTAAGGATATCATCAAGAGACCATTGAGCTCTGTTAGTCCCAGCTAGATGGATCACTCATTGTAAAGTTAATATATAAATCAATCAACGTCAGTCCATTGTAAACACTGTCTACTCAAAAGATTCATATTCAAAATTATTTATCCACTTCATACCATGTGTCTTCTTCCTTCACCTTCCTCTGACTTGCCACAGGAGACATAAGGTTCATGTCTTCTTCCTCCACCTTCCTCTGACTTGTCACAGGGTGACATAAGGTTCATGTCTTCTTCCTCCACCTTCCTCTACCTTCATCTGATTTTAACTGGATGGAAACATTAAAGTTCATATGTTCTTCCACCTTCCTCTGACTTGCCACAGGAAACGTAAGGTTTTGTATCTTCTTCCTCCACCTTCCTCTGACCTGCCAAATGCACATGTTAGAGTCATGTCTTTTTCGTCCACTTTCCTGTAACTTTAACTACGCCTTGCCTTTTACCAACTTTCTCGACAAAAATATTGTAAACACATAGAAGGGTTTGGTCTGTCATTTTTTACCTCATCATCATGATATCCATAGCACATTGTTTTTGGCCAGTGTTGTTAATACATGCATGATTCATGGCTGACATCTTCTCTTGGTGATCACCTATTTTTTTTTTTTTTTTTTTTTTTTTTTTTTTTTTTTTTGTAGAGGTTAAATCTTGTTAAGTTAAAAAATGCTGAACTTTCAACTTAATGCAATTATTTTCTTACAAGAATAATGTGGCATATCAGTTGGCATTCACTTTTTGATAGTCTCAATAGACCAAATCGGTGGCTCAGATCACATGACTTATAGTGGGTATTAGGGTTTTGTTTACATCTATCGAGATCGCGAGACGACAGTACATTGAATATAGCTTCGCCTTGTTGTTGATGTAAGTCACATCATATATGTTGCAAATGTTGGTTGGAACGAGAGTTATAATTTGGTAAATCACTTTAGAAGTGTTCCAAAATTGAGTTTGGTTTGGTAAGGCTCTAGTGGATAGTGGGAATAAAGCCTGGAAGTTTTTCAAGGGAAGGTACTGTACGTTCACAACATGTATGTTGATTAAGTGGAGTCGTTGCCAGCTGAGGTACTTTTTAGGCCTAAGTCAAGAATATTATTCATGGCAAATGCTATCGCAGCATTAAAAAAAACAAATCTCCCCATTCGTTGGAAGAGTATCATTTACAGTTATTTTAAATCCAAAATTAAATCATAGGATGTTAGTAGTTACTGCAGTGCCAAGGATGACATACATCATGACATAAATAAATAATATTAATAATACATACTGGCATTAGGATATTATTATTATTGTACCATACCAACCAGGCCTACTGTATGATCACCATCCTGTTGCCTAAACCAAGTTCGGTTTAGCATACAGTAACGTTAAGAGCTATTTGCTACTTTATTACCTACTCGACTACAGAGATATATAGTCAAGGCATAACAACTCCTTCCCTGGTCCGGGCCCTGGTCAAGGCTTAACAGTGCAGCCTATGCCTATACTTGTATGTAGCATTCCAGAGCCTAAATAAAGTACATGGAGATTGCCAAAGTAATTATAAATCACTATTAAAAAAAGACATACTGTAGGCCTAGTGCCTAAATTTACTTTGGGTCTCGCTGTCTAAAAAACATCATAATTCTCTAAATATACTGTGTTCAAACTGACCGCACTGTGACTTATAATTCACATTATGTACCCACTAAATGTCAAGTGACCAATAATAGATTCGGTCTATTGAAATGTTTAGAGTACATACTGTAAATTCTTTTGTTTTGACCATATTAATAACAGGATGTGCAGTTAAAGATGGTACAAAACTGAAAGTCACAAATAATTTGCATGGACAGATTGTGACCCGGATTTTCAGTACCAATCGACCATTGAAAGTTGTAAAGTTTTCTGTCAATTTCCTTCTTCCTTTTTAAAACAATATATAGTATGTGTATTAAAATAATGTTAATATGCAAATATTTTGGTTTAAAATTTGAAAACATCAGGGAAGGCATACACCTATTGTAGAACACTATTCGTATGCTTTTGGTTTTCGTGTCGTGCATCATAGACATGTATACAGCTTTAATCACTTGTCATCTCAAAACTAAAACATATAGTAGGCCTACAGTATCAATGATACTTTAATTTATAGTATGTTATTGCTTTTAAAAAAAAATGAAACTGAATCTACTGTAATTCCATTTTTTTTATTATTCTTGGTGGGATTTTTATTGACATACATTGTAGTTATATCAGATAATTTTTATGTTTGTGTACTGTAGCTATGCTTAGTGGGGTTAAGCTGCCTGGCTTTTAATTCCAGGGTCCTGTGTTCAAATCCTTTTAAAACCAACTAAAATAACTCCACTATGAGGCTTAAAGAGTGGAGTTGTTTTTAGTCGTGAGAAAAAATAAACCCTGCAGTGACAGGGTTTGATCCTAGGACCCTTGAATTTGAAGGTAAGCATATACTGTATCAAAACACTAAGCTATTCAACTCGACCAATGAAAATGTATTAAATAGTAGATATTGTTTGTTTTCATATTTTACAGTACTGTTCATTGGGTATATATCCATTATACTCAACTGGAATTTGCAGCACAATTCTTGAAGTTAACTCAGCTCGTCGCAATCTGTCACTTCTACCTTTCACGATCGCTCCGATTACTCAAAAGAGAGGATCTAAATACAAGGTTAGTGTTTTCACCCTGAATTATGAGTACATGATCCAATATAGTTAATTTTTAATTTTTATTAAATGCAATTTATGACTTTAGACTTCCAACAGAAATGCTGTGAGTTCAATCAAGTTCAATGACCATCACACTTTCTATCTGTCTGTTTTCACTCATACATTTTATGGGTGTGGTCTGCAGGGCCAGATCTAGAGAAAAATCTGGGTCGGAGTCATGCGTTGTGCCAAGCACCAACCCATAAGGAATGGGTGTATAGTCGATTGTAAAATAAAATTATACGTCTAAACAAATTACAACTTTTATATCATGCAGTGTTTTCAATACCATTTTCTCTCTTCTCTCCACCCTTCATTTTCTTTTATTATCGTTCTCAATTGTTTCAGGGATGGGTAGCGAAGGGGTCTATTTTTTAATACAAAATTGAAAATATTATTTTGTTTTCTTTTTTACATTCCGATAGTTTTGCTTTCACGTTTTATTGTGATTGTTCAATGTCCTGTATGGGCTTTCACTCTTGTTAGAGAATATTTTAAATTAGAAAAGTAATTAATTACATCATATGTATTTGAAACACTGTAATGTTAAATTTTAAAATGTTTGCTTTTTTTTCTATTGTTTGTTGTCCTTTTTATTGCTGTCATGACTAGAGTGCCCAAAGTGAATATTTTTTCTTCCGTTTTGCCATGAGTCTAGGAAGTTCGTATTGGCTTTTCTCCAGGTCAGGAAGGGAAGTATAGGACTATAATTAATTGTTGTTAAATGAACCACAGATCGTTTCAGTCAATACGTTGTGTTTTGTTTTTTTCTTTATCTGTTTCAATTACTTCTATTTGTTTTTTGTTTTTTTTATTTCGAATATTGCTTTGTGAAGTGAATTAACCTTGAATTTATTTCTAAACAATGCTTCAACATCTGGAATTCTAAGCGCAATTAGGAAAAATTGAAGGTTAACAGTATTATGTTCATCTCAGACGTCATTGTTAATAACTATTTTTTTGTATAAATATTTTGATATGGATTTAAGATTATTTTTTTTATCCTATAGGTTGCTTATTCCATTATGTTTGGCCTTTCAACTGTACTTTACAACTGTTACTGTCATTGGGATCATGGATGCTAAACCAACAAAAACAGAATGCAATGGTACTAGCATTATATTTGTTTTAATTTAATCAAATAAATTTTATTTTATTCAGTTTATATCTTTTGTCTTTCTATAAATTGTCTTTCTATAAATTTCAAAACAGAACAGGCTAAGAGAAGATTATATATTCCAATTTTTTTCCCAGTAACTTGAATGCTCTGGAGGGAAAAATATTTTTGATACTTTGTACAACTGATTTTAGTAAGACACAAAAAAAAATATTTGACAAAAAAACTCAGGAAAGGAACGGTTAATGAGATACAGATCTTTGAATATTTAAAAACTGGGGGGGGGGGGAAAGGTTGAAGAAAGGATGAATTTTGATAGTCTTTTGTTAAGTAATATATATGCTGTAGTCAAATACATGTCACACGTTTAGAC